GAAGGCTCTGATGAGGGCTCTGTGTTGGAGGCAGACAGGGGGACAGAGCCGTATGCCAGTTATCATCTGCCTTCAGAGTCAGACATCAGTGAGGCAGAAGAACTGCTGGAGCCTGTTCCCAGTGTGCGCACGGGCAGAGTTGCCAGGAGAAGGGAACAGCTAAGGAACAAGAGTCGACTTGGGAGTAAGGCCACAGGTGGACGGTGAATGGCCCCTCCCAGAGGGAATAAAAGAGGAGCGAAAGGGGAGTGGAGTTTGCAGGAGACAATTCGTTCATTCCTGCATCCTTGCCAAGTATTGCGGCGTCTGAAAGATCTCGGCCTGGCCACTCTCCAAGCCTGATAAAGGTCAGTAATTGTGAACAATCTTGAAAGACTCTGGGAAGAGGAAAGACTTTGCCGGAGAGGAATTCAGTGTCAATTAAAGAAAAGGGACGAGGACTCGGCTTCGTGCTGCTGGGGAAGCCTTGGTCAGAACAAATAGGCTAAAATCCAATTTTTCTTGGTGTAAATTGGATTCTTGGGAATGGCAGAATCCTTGAGACATGGCAAGCCGCTCCTGACCTCAAATTTGGTACCTTCTCTAGCTGGGTGCAGCTGTGGGCATTAGTTCGAGAATCTTGGAATTGCCTTAATGATGCCCCATCTGCCTACATTGCCTACAAAACTCCTTTTCATCCATTTTTACAGTGAACGGACACTTTTCCTTGGTGGGTTTGCCACACCAGATATCAAAGCAGTTGCCCTCTCTTGCACCGTCTCCCCACCACCCCTTATGACGGGCAGGTAGACTGGCCCTTGACGGGGAGGCTGTGCGCCCAACTAGGACCCAACTTCAATTCTTAATGTAGCTTTAATTCCTTGGCTGCGTCGGGGAAGCAATTAAAAGTCATTCTGTGCTTCCTCCCGAGCTGAGCAGTTGCTCCCTGCCTACTCACACATGGTACAGGTTGGTGGGTGGATTAATGGGGGGGGGGGAGGAAAACAGGGCTGGCGCTGATTATTTTTCCCCTCTTCTTCCAAGGAACAGTTCATCTCCACCTCTGCTCATGTTATTTTGAGAATTGCAGATATTGTGCGGAGGACAAGAGAGTGAAAGGGGGCCAGACAAGAGGCCAAGGCCATCAATACACTACAATACCAGAGTTGGAAGGGACCTTGGAGGTCTTCTAGTCCAACCCCCTGCCTAGGCAGGAAACCCTATACCGTTTCAGACAAATGGCTGTCCAACATCTTCTTAAAGACTTCCATTGTTGGGGCATTCACAACTTCTGGAGGCAATTTCTGTTCCACTGATTAATCATTCTAACTGTCAGGAAATTTCT